GAGTGTGCTATTTTCTTAAAGGCACATGTCCAAGAGCAGGTCCTCTGTTTACTGGTTTAATTTGGTTAATTTTGTTAAAGAACAGAGCATTTAATGAATTGGCGTATCACAGGCATTTGGAACAAACTTTGAGTTCAGGTTTTTAACATATAAAACTCACTTGCACTTACTGCCTCTCTGGACACTTACAGGTAGTGACTGGATTTAGGTTTCACATTTTATTTCCCCTTTCCCTATCTACCGTTAAACATAGAATGAACCTCCTCCTCTTTCCTATTTCTCTACCCTGCCCCCCACACACATACAGAACATAGATGTGGTTAAAAAGCCCACTTTCCAGGAAGGCAGTTAATTCATAACACTAAACTACCTAGTTAGGTGTAAACTATTTGCTTTATAGTATGCTAGCAGCTGAAGCATCAATTGGTAAGATTATACCAGGAATTAAAGAGTCAAGTGAACTAATCAAATTCTATAGCTTCAAGTTGCTTTCAGGATAAAGGTAGATAATTCCAGAGTAACATACTGCCCAAACTATATTTCTCATTAAAAGAAATGAATTGGCTAGCCAATTATTTTCCCTTCAGAAATAGCTTAACTCAACCTATGTAGCTTAATTCAATAGATGAATGGATAAAGATAGGGCACATATGTATGTATGTATGTATACTATGGAATATTACAGAGTCATAAAAGATTGCCATTTGTGACAACATGGATAGACCTAGAGGATAGGGTATTAAGAGAAAGACAAATACCATATAATTGCACTTGTAGGATCTAAAAAACAATGAACTCTATATATAGAGAACAAACTGATGGCCCCCAGATGAGCAGGGGAGTGGGGAGACTGGGTGAAAAAGGTGAAAGGAAATTAAGTAGTACAAAATACCTGTTATAAAAATAGTCACAGGATATAAACTATAGCATACGGAATATAGTCAATAATATTGTAATAACTATGTATGGTGCCAGATGGGTATCACCTCATAAGGTATATAAATGTCTCATTACTTTTGTACACCTGAAATTAATATGTCAGCTATAATTGAAAAAACATTTTTAAACTTAATTCACTAAAACTAATGCCTCTAAATTCATGTTTTAATTTACATCAGAAAGTTCTGAAGTTCCTTTATAAGCCTAAAGGTATATTTCTGTGTTTCACTCTAGGGTTCTGGGTACACTGCAATGATTCCAAGCTAAGCATGTGCACTATGGATGAAGTATGCAAGGCCCAAGCTTATATCTTGTTTTATACCCAGCGAGTTACTGAGAATGGACATTCTAAACTCTTGCCTCCAGAACTCCTATCTGGTAGCCTACCTCCCAATGAAGAAGCTGATACCTCCGAGATCCTTAGCTGATCCTAAGACAGTGAGCTTCTTGCGATTTGTACATATACTTTTTGAAAGGGCTGACTTAAAATTTTGAGCTTCATTGTTTTTTTACTTAAAAATCAGTGCACACTGTTTATATATTTTGTATCTAACTTCGTCTTTTTACAGGGACAAAGCATACATATGTATTAGTGACAGCAGGTAACTAAACTTTTGTCATGTACTTGGGAGTTTTAAGCTTTTAGTGTTTACCTCAGACTAGTGTTACCTCTTTTATATTTTGATGTCTTAATTGGCTCAGATCATGAATTTGTGCAATCAACTGAAATTCAGGTGGCATCATTTTATACATTTCTTATTTATCTTTTGTAGCTATTTTCTATACAAATTCAATTCTTATTCGATGGAAAATTAGACTTCACTGTCTTAACAAAAAAAAAAAATCTAAACGGTATTTCTTTCAGGCCATTTGTATGTTAATGTTACCTTTGCCCCTTTAAGGGAGTTAGACTACTACTTTCAAAGAGAAATATCAAGGTATTGTCTAAATACTCATCAATCTATTCCTGAGGCTTTGTGTGTTACAGGGCTCAGAAAACATTGTCATTAATGGAACTTATTTTTCAAAAATTATTGTTTTAATAATTATTTGGCATAGACATACACATATGAAAATGACAGCTTAATAAATAGTGTGTTTAAATGACTTTAGTACTATGGACATGAAAACAATGATGGCTGGGACTTATGATGATTTGTCTGGCAGTGAACAGGTTTGTCCAGATTCTAATAATAAAGCAGTCAGTCATATTAAAAATTTGAATTTACCGAACTTTGTATTATGTTATACAAGTACAATTTAACTTGGATATGAGTCCATTTTATGTTTAACATTAGAACCTCTTAAGGCTTCGTACTGTATCACTTTTTGAGATTTTATTTAAAGGGATAAAAATAAGCCTTGAAGAGAAAAAATTGCATAGGGCAGAGAAAATAACTGTTCAAAATTGGCAACTGGCAGCAGGCATCTCATTTCTCTAACTAAAGCCTGGACTACTCTTGCTAGGATTATGTGACTACTAGGAGCCTTTTAACATATTTAAATACCAGGCCCTGACATTTTAAAAAATTATCTAAACTTGCATTTTATTAAAAATGTAGTATGAAATAATCTTTGCTCTTGCCTAATAATCTTACTAGATTTCTTTAAAATACTACTGCTGCTAACTTTATTTCAGAAAGAGGAAAATCTACCAACCTCTGTTAATCTGATCTTAGCCCGGTATTAACCACTGCAAGATCATTTCTCTTTTTAAGTGGGTTTGCTTGCAGGTTGAAATCTTAAGATATCCTATAGAATGCTGTTCTCCCCTAGTGATCATCTACAAGTTTGAGAAGGACCTCTATTAGTAAATTTTCCTTAAATTTCAGAGGACAAGTCATATGAAGCAGCTGACTGTAAAGTGCAATGAGAATTTATCACTGAACAGACAAATCATTTATGCCAAAAATACAGCTTGTGTTAAATGACTAAGGTTTAAAATCATTCATTAAGTATCTATGCAAGTTGTTACCTCAACTGTTAATTATACCTCATTAAAGATTTTTGTGGTCAAAATACCTGCGTTTTCCCTTTTTTAATTTCAAGGATTACTTTATACCTAGGTTAACTGCTATACATTTTAGCACCTAATTTTAGTGGGATTTTTAAAAACTCTGGAAGCTATGTTATTTATATAATGGTGTAATTTGCTTGTTTCAGTACTTATTTCAATGTAATATATAAGAAAGAAATAAAGTAGCGTAGCTTTCTTGATCTTTTCAAACTAAAACCAATGGGGCAGGCTGTATGTGTGATGTCAAGGTATATGGGAATTCTGTACTTTATGCTCAATATTGCTGTGAACCTAAATCTGATCTAAAAAAACATTAAGTATTAAAACTAAAACCTAGACAATGAACAGAAATTTCGATTTACTGTACGTCTCAGTGTGGACTTTACATTCTGCTAAGTTGATCTAACAAAAAACAACATGTTTTGGTTGTAAAATAATTTACTAAAGGCACTATTGTTAAACATTCAAGCTAATAATTTGTTACCAATAAGGTACATCATCATAAACATGACAGAATGATTCGAGAGATAACATGGCTAGTAAACAATACAATTTTTTTTTTAAGTGACAGCTTTCCTATTTACAGGATCTTATATATCCCTTCCAGCCATTTCAGGGGCATGCAGCGATGCCATCGCTCCCGACAGTTACCTGGGAAGGAAGCTTGGAGAGCTTAATTCGTTTGCAATCGCTACTGCTGTAAGAGGTCTTACAAAGCTCCAAAATTCTTCACTCATAGGGTCAATCTACTTTGTAAATCCCATGAAAGCACATCAAAATGATATGAATTCAAAACTCCAAAAGAGCTAGCTGGAGGGCCCAAGCCCCGTAACATGTCCCGGCATGAGGTGGTGAGCTCTGCCACTTGCACATCACAGAAAATGGAGAACTTCAAAGGTAGCTAGCTATTGAACATTAGCACCATAGTAAACATGGTTCATGTAGATAACTGGATTGTTTATCCCACAAAGTAACATTCATTAATAGCTCTAATGCTGAAAGCAGCTTTTTAATGTATAATAAATGATCGAAGTACAGAAGTCAGGTTTCTCTTCCTATGAGATTAACATTAAACAAAATACAAAACGGCATCCCAGAGGCAAAAAATCTTATTGTGCTAAAGCATTACAAATTAAGGCTTTACCTTGGTACATAACAATTTTGAAACTATACTGGAACATTCCTAACAAATCATTTACACAGAATTCAAGCAATTTGTTCGAGGATCGGTAGTGGGGCTCAGTTCAAGTATTATGCATCTTACATTCAACATATGCACTTAGCTGCTAACTTAACCTCACTTCCTGAAATACCATCCATAATGTTATGAATCCAAGCCAGTTGAGAGGCAGGGTGCTAAAGAATTTGGTTAACTAATGAAAAAGCCTAATAATTCAATTTCGCTTTTCTAACTAGAACAAGATCCAATCACGGGAAGTTTTCCTGTTTTTGTGGTTTTAAATGCCCTTTGGTTTATTAAGCAACCTGAATACATTTCCTGATAAATATATACCACTGGACAGAGGATCTAAATGTTGAGATTTTACTAATTCAAGGTTTCAAGTTGGTACAATGTTCCTACTAAGTCATGTTTCAATTAGTAGATCTTGCCAATGTCAGGGAATAAATGAAAGACAAGGATTAATATCTTAAAAAGAAAAGCAAAATATTCCTAGAGCTTGTTAATTTATGAAGCTCCTCCTATTTTATACGCATGTATAGATCTTGTTTAGCCACTATGTCAACTTTCAGTATAGAGGTCTACAATCCAGATAAAAGGTTCTACAATACATTAAGTTTAGCTATTTCCTATGCAAAATTATAACCACAGACATTGAAATGTAGCTCTCAGATCTGAAAATGTCTTTATTTTTTAGAAAATGGATTCCAGGAAGGTTAAAAAGCAATACCAGAGGGTATAGGTGGATGTAGTCATTCATTCAAAGCATTCAGTTAAGAATATGGCAATACAAATACCTGAAAAGCATCTCTTCAGTGTTCAAAACAAAATGTATAAGTCATTCCTAACTAATATGAACTTTATAGCATTTTCTAGACAGGAGAAAAACAGTTAACATTTGAAAGTCTTGAAAGCTTTTTCCTTGGTTAATTACATTAGACGGTTTGCCTTTATCAAATTCTTTCCTTTTTAAACATGGATAAAAGTATTATATAAGTCCACTGTTAAACAGACAACGTGTTGCAAATTAATTCTGGTATAATGTATTCCAACAAAGCTTAAAAAATAAAAGATGTTGTGGTGGCTTTGGACTAAGTTTAATAGTCATCTCCTCTGCTGACAACTTCTTTACATGTTGGACGCAACAGTATGGTATGTTCAAACTGTGCTGTATATGATCCTTTAATGTCACACAATGGTGGATATGGATCTACAATGCCCAAGTCACACAGATTTTTCAGAGCCATCAAGTATTTACTTTCTCCCAAGCGATCCAGCCATCTGCGGCAGAAGGCAAGGGTGCCAAAGTTTTCATTGATGACATTTAACAAGTGTTTTGTTCTTGGAAGCCTAAGGGGAGAAAATCCAAGATTAATAGTTGGCTAAAAAGTTATCAAAATTCATTTCCTCCATTAAGGAAAACTCGAACTGTAGCTGTGGCTTGACTTAGTAACTGAAGTTAAAGAAAATTTTTTTCACTGCCACTTTCAACATTCAAAAGCCAGAATGTGTAAGGGCCCATACCTAATTATAGATGGCAGATAAATAGGAAGCCAGGTGAAGGCTATTTTATTATATTTGTGTGTGTCTATGAATGTGTGAAATTCCCAGTACAGACTCATCAACAGTATTATGATAGGATTTCCTTTTTGTGCATCGAGCTGAAAGACCTGCACATAAAGTAATTGTAAATCTATCCTTCAACCACCCAAAAAAAGGTTTAAAAAAAAAAAAAACAAAGTCTATCACTGGGAAAATATTAAGAAAAATCTAGAAATGCAAGCAAAATAAGTTCTGAAATTATGATTATTAGAAACGACCTATATCATTTTCATCTCAGTTAAAAATTTTACAGGCCAATTTCTTTACTGTATTACAGAAATCCATAGAACTTACTGTTAGACTACAGAACTGTGGTTACCTGTCACATTTTTAAAAATACTGTTAACCAGGAAGAGAAACTTACTATTCATATAAAAATAAATCTCTCACCTTATTGGCACATGTCCAACATCAAAATTTTTCATGTAATGTGAACATTCCATATCATCATGAACAACACCTTTTCCTGTGCTACCAAAGGTTTCAATGGCATAAACTTCCCCTTCCTGAAAAATACATTAGGGTCAAAGGGAGACAAGAAAAATTCAGAACTAATCAAAATTACCATATCTTAACTTCAGGCTGAGGTTTTCCCTACTTCATGTAAGAAACATGATACGTCTCCCAGCAGTCCTTATCCTCCTTTCCCTGAGTTATCTTAGCACATTTTGGTCTGTGTCCTCCTATTTGAATGTAGGCTTTAATGGGCAGGAAATTTTGTTTGTTCACTACTATATCCTCAGTGCCTACTGAAGACACTGTTGCCTACAAGATGTTCAATACTAAGTGTCTAATAAACAATCTTCTGACATACCCAAATTCCACAGCTAACTGAGTCCTGATCTGACTAGACACAATCTGCACACTCACATGGCCCAGTTCCTATCAAGGTGAGTATGGATTGCAAGTCAGTTTTGCTCAACATACTATGTACTCAACCATCACTAGCTTTAGCTTGGAAAAAAATCAAAATGCTTCACAAAGAACATTGTTAATGGCATGCGTACCTCCATTCTTGTTGCTTCTCCTCCTTTCACAATGGGCACTGTTTTCCCAGCATGTATTCTATATGGCCCAATTGAATGTCCATTTAGATTACGGATTGGTTTCACTGACGTAATAAATAGGAAAAAAATAGTTATTCAGGGTCTCTAGAAGCACAAACAGGTCTCTTGGCCTTTAGGCTAGGGTTCAAGCACTTATTTAAAAACAAAATAAGGCTCTACTAAATAACTTCACATTAAGGTAATTAAAATACAAACTGGAAAACTAGTATAATATAAAAAGATGCTTATTACAATGTGACTGATTAAAAACTAGAAGCGAGTAAGGGGAGGTGGTAGAAAAATATAAATAAACTGATGAGGACAATGGGGGTCATCTAAGGAAGTACTGTTAAGTCAAAATGCTATGTATATGATTATAAACATGAAAATTATACATTTTTATAATTATGGACTAAAAGGTAATGTGAAAATGAGGATTCTGTCAAAATGACAGGATTCTGTAACCTTAAATTTTATTATTACATCAAAATTTCAAGTGTTAAAATCTAAACACTCTCAAGGTTCTGAGATCAATGACAGAAAAATCAAATTGTGGTATACTCATACACTGCAACACTGCTCAATAAAAACAAAAAGCTCAAGATACATTGAACTGAAATAAAACTTAAAAAAATGAGCAAAAGAAGGCACAATTATAAATATACTGTGCAATTTCAAATATATATGGAATATTTATAAATGTACATTTAGTTCAAAATCAAGTATTGTTACATTACTGTTTAGGGATGAATAATTAGACAGTGAAAGGCAAAGAAAAGCAAATGCAAATACTTTAGTACTCAAGACTGGTTATTAGAGGAACGCTGCTATAACTGGAAAGGGCTACACAGAATTAGGGGCTTCTGGAATGCTGGCAATATTCTATTTCTCAAGGGGTGAAGCCACATAGCTTTTATAATTATGTGATTGAAGTTTTATGTTGTATTTTTAGTGTTTTTTATATTCCTCAATAAAAAAAAAAGGTTTTAAAAAACCTATTTATATAGTGCTGAAATCTTCAGTACAAGCTACCTTTCTTCCAGGCCAGAATTAGGTAGCAAGGTTTTTCAAATCTGTAACAATGAAATAATGACAAGTATATTACAAATTTAGGAGGTGGTACAGAAAAGTAAAACTCTCAATTAGCTCTTCAAAAAAAAAAAATCTTCCTTCTTATATAAATAAGCTAAATTTATTTGAAATTCAGCAAGTATTTCTCTTAAGACCAAGCAAAATGACTCCACAAGCCAAACAAAAACACATTTAAGTAAAAACAGATTTTCTTAAAAAAACAAAAAACATTTAAATTAAAAAATCATCCTAACATATAACCAAGTTACACAGAAGAAGCAGGGCACAGGGCCATTTTTATATCATACAGATTTTGACAGTGGCAGGCTAATTCTGGGAGCAACAATTATAAAGATAACTTTCAATTCTACATCTTCTTGCTCAAGGTAAATAAAATCCCTCCCTTTGATGGCCCAGTTCTGTTATAGTTTTGAGGACTTGCTTCTGAAAGCTCAGCCTATAGTCCATTTCTTCATTTTCCCAATGTCATGATTTGTCTATACTCTTTCTGCTTAAACTAGTAAAAATGAATTCTGTCACCTTCAACTAAGAACCCCATTCAATACAATAACATATTAAAAAAGGAGTGATAAAATAATATAGTGCTAAAACAAACTTAGTGGAAGAAGTTTAAGAAGGCATATATTATTACAATATTACAGACTGGAATTATTACATGGTGACTAAACATTAAGTCAAACTGTCTCCTAATATACCTTGAAAGGCAGACTGCATGCCAACTAAAGTTGTAGGATTAATAGAAAATAGAAGGAAACGATTTGAGAGGGACATGATTAAGCATTATTTGTTGTGGTCCTAATCCCAAAACTGGGGTGGGAAATGAAAAATATCTGTTGAATACTAATAACTATCAGACATTGTCATAAAATTTACGTTTCTAAACAAAACAAAAACCATGATATCATTAATCCTATTTCAGTCAAAGACCCTGAGTTCTTAAAGGATAGAGAATTTATCTAAGCTCAAAGATAGACCTGCCTGACCCCAAAGCATGTTTTCTTCATTATCCCATAACACCTCCCATTCAAGTGTGAGCAGCCTTAAGAGTTTTTTGATTTGTAAGTTCACTGGCCTAGAAATCTTTGTTATTCAAAGTTGCTCTGTTGCTCTGTTGCATTAAACTAGTAAAAATGAATTCAACAGAGCAACAAAGACAGGTACTGTCAGATCCCAGAGGAAGAATCACTTTTGCACCTGGTACAAACACAATATAAGTCTCAACAGGGTAATACAAAGAATGCTGAATGCTGAATTTACTGAAGGGCAAGGAAGCATGATAGTTGCCACTCAAAGGACTATAAAGGAGAGACAGGTTTTGGTTAAGGAAAATGTAGGAAATATTCTAAAAGAAAGTTATTCAACAGGGGTTACAGAGAGCAATTAGCATAGATTAAGAAGGATGATGGTGCCTGAAGAGTAGTCAGACATATGCTGGGAGTCAGATGAAAGCTAGATTGATGGAGAGCACCAGAAAGCACAGGTGGACTCTGGGACTGTGTACCTAAGGCAGTGGCTGGGAAAGACCAAGAGGCAAAGGGAATAAAGATTAAAGAAAGGACACACAAGGAATTAACTGGCCTCCAAATTTTAAATTCAACTTAAAAAAAAAAAACAACTGGGAATCACTGACAAAAAGGGCCTCTGGCTTCTTGAGTCTTGATTTGACCAGTCACAGAAAACTTAGTCTGCATTTTGGCCACCCTGGGATAAGTCCCCAACAGCTACCAGAGGAGCTTGGGGACAGTTCCCAGTTAGTGACCACATAACTATGAGGTCATTTCCTCATCTTCCCTCTTTATAGTCCCAAGAAATAAGATGAAGCAGCTGACTCAAAAAAAGCACTCAACAATTTTAAAATTAATTCTATAAAGGTCACACACATTTCACATAAGATAACATATTTAATGAACATACCTTGATATGTCTTTCCATCTATTTCAACCTCATAGGATTCCATAACTTCTTGGATGGCCTCACCAACATCACACAGACGGACATCAATTCCAGCACACTAAATATGGAATAATGTATACTTTGTTATTCAAAGCGCAGAATTTTACAGCAACTTCTAAATATTTTAAAATAAGGGGCGATAAAAACCGCTTTGCACATTATAACTTCCTCTATAAAAACTTTGGTACGTTAAAATAACCCATTTAAAACCCTAAGGGCAGTGGACCAGTCTTATATAACCCAAAGGCCTTAAACAGGCTATAATGAGCTCAAAATATGTTAAATGAAATGGTGCTTACAGTTCACGTACCTTTATTCCAGTGTTAGTGGCATCTTTTACAGCTTTTAATAATGTATCATATTTGGGATTAAAAGTGACAGTAAAAGCACAGTCAATAATCCTACCTGAAAGAGAAAATTCTCAAGTTTACTTATCAGCTAGTTAATTTACCTACTTTATAGCATCTACTCTATTGATTATCCTCGCTAGTTAACAGAAAAATAAAATGACTCAAATAAAAGCAGCACTCCAGGTACCCAGATGGCACTCACAATCAAAGGTGGGTAAGTATCAAAGTATAAGTTATATAAAGATTTCGGAATGAAAAGATTAATTCCAGGGTGAGTGTATATTACTTTAAGGCAGCACCAATTAAGTACTCCAGGGTGAGTGTATATTACTTCAAGGCAGCACCAATTAAGTACTCACCCAGGCAGTTACACAAAAACATAAACAGAAAATTCAAAGTGAGAAAAGCCTAGGGAACTAAGAAACAGCAATGTGGGCAGAGAAAAAGTGTAGGATCCACAGGATGCTAACCATCAGTCCAGCTTCTCCAATTTAGTAAAAGCTCAGTTAAGTACTTAATCTAAGCTTGTTTTCTCACGGGGTTTAGAAAAGTTGATAAGTCTATAAAGGTTGGTAAACTTAAAGGTTCTAAGTAAACATTTGCTATTAATATGAATAAATGATGTCTGAAACAATGACCTGAAGAAATACAAGATTATACATTCATGCCTTGATACCAAAGGGTAAACCTCAATTACCTGAGTTTTCATTATACTTCATTTAGTAGGACGCTTTAAAGTAAATCTCAAAATCTGCCTCAACACAGGTCTAGTGAAGTGAGGAATCAAGAAAATTTGAGAACTCAGTATTGATAGCTCCATCCAACAAGACAAGACTAGAGTTTTGTAGGGAGAGTGTAGAGTAGAAATTATTTCCAAGAACCTACCACTTATATGTGTTCCAAAGTCTATCTTACAGATATCATCATACTGTAATACTGTAGTGTCACCAGCATTGGGAGTATAATGGGCAGCACAGTTATTGAGAGAACACCCAGTAGGAAATGCCAGGCCAGCGTTTAATCCATTCTCTTTTATTAGCTTTCGTGAACAGTCTTCCAACTTTTCACTAAACAATAAAAAAGAAATTTGTTTACTTTTACATTTTATGTAAGGTACAACTTTACACACGTTACAGCTTATCATGTTTAGAAAGTTAACTAAAACTCTTACTTTCTGGGAGTGATCTGAGCACTTTCTAAATGTGAATAAATAACGGTTCTCTAAAGCTATGAAAATAGTAGCTCATCTCTAAAAGATAAAGAACTTAATTCCACTAGAATCTGGAGAAATGGAATGATATAATCCATTTAGTTTCCTAGTAAGTAACATTCTTGATTTAGACTAACATTCTTGATTTAAATGCTGATTAGATTTTATTTGCTCAATGTTACATATTTTGAAAATTATCTGAATCAGAGAATTAGGTTGCCTTTTATAGCTAATTATTTCTCAAGGGGAAAACTGGAATAATAATTACTCTTATGGGTTTTTTCACTGCATTATAAATGTTTTGTGTCCAATAATTTTAATTTAATATGAATTGCTAGATAACGATAGATTTCCAGACAGAAAATAAGCATCAATGTGTGCGTTTGCACATATGAGTGTACGTGAGTACAAAATATGGTTGCTAAAGTACAAATATTCTCTATGGGTTCCTCGTTACATCAAAATTACAAGAATTTAGGAGATATTTCTAGAACCTTCATTTAAAGTTTTAGCAAAGTAGTAATGAAAGTTAAACATTACAAGTGAAAAGCTGGTCCTAGAAAAGATTTTTTTAAAAATCATGTTTGTAATTACAAAAACATATTCCTTTTACCAGATTTCTATCATTGTCATCCCAGGCTTGATCCAGCTCATAACGTATTTTCTAACTTGTCGATGTGCTTCTGCTGCTTCTCGAAAATCATTCCAAATCTCTTCGCTAGCTTGATCTAATGCTTTCTTTTCTTCACTTGTAGTTCTCCAAGCAGCTGTTCGCCTTTACAGTATGCATAGCACATTTAAGAAACAGCATAATAAGCATAAAAGCTGAAATAAAACTATACTAATATGAGACACTTCAGATAAAAATATTATACATTTAATTTCTTTCATTAAATGTCAGTAGAGCTTCTGAAATACAAGTAAGCCACATTCAATCAAGCCAAATCAATTAAACCTTTTCTAAGAATCTTTAGGGGGAAAAAATCCTCAAGTGAGATTCCATTCATAGTCAGAGGGATTAATATCCTGCCACAAAAAATAACACAAAAGGAGAGAACCAAGAAAAGTCAGAAAAGAGTCCTAGAAATCAAGCAGGTGGGAGAAAAAAGTCATCCTTCCACTCGAGGTAATTGTATTAAGAGACTTCAAAAGAGCACACTAAAAACTAGCATTTAACTGCACCAATAGGGCAAGTACTAATCCAAAGACTTGACCCCAGAAATGTACATATACCTTCCTCAAAACATAAAATATTATGCTTTTGCAGGATTTTTCTGATCGTATATATGTTAGAGGTACTCTTCCTTGAAGGATATGACTCACATTTTAAAACTTCCGGAAATAACAAATAGATTTTTATTTTCAGTATCTGGGAATGAGGAGATCCACTGAATTCCCTTTAAGCAGTACGTTTTGAAAACAACCATTTTCAAATGAAAATCTTTTTAAAATTGTTATACTTTCACACATTCTTAAGAATATATAAATAGTTCACAAGTCAGTGATCACTGAGGTATATAAACCATACTTAGTATAAAAGTGATGTCTTCAAGGAATCACTCCTATTGCCTCAAAGGTAGTGGCTGGCAAACTATGGTCTGCAGGCAAATCCATCCCTGACACCTGTTTTGTAAATAAAATTTTATTGCAACAAAGCCACAATGGCAGAACTGAGTAACACTCAATGCCTGAAATATTTATGGTCTTTTACAGAAAAAGTTTACCCAACTGCTCTAAACTACAGGTCCTTAAGACCCCAAAATGTTGAGTTTTTCTGCATGTCACTATTAAGTTCATTATGACTACTTCCTACTACAGCAGTTCCCTATGTGCCAACATCTAGCACCTGTAATTTGCTACAAGGCCCAAAGGAGCTGTCCTATGTGAACTTAGGGTACTTAAAGCATCACAGAGCCTTCTTTGTCTTGTCTGCTTACAAATGTGTTTTGGATCTATCCACTGATGTTAACTGAAATATTACAGTATCATCAGCTTAAGGTCATTTTTAAACTCCGTAAGTACTTAAATGCATATGAAATACTTTTATGGGAAGAGTGAAAACTCAAGAGACCACTTCTAATCAAAGAATACAAACGAAAGCCCTCAGACTAGAAGGGAATAGGATAAGATCCTTAAAAAGTACAATCTCAAGATGTGGCTCAACCTTTTTCAGCTGCAATACACATATAGTTGGCTAACTCCGTGCTGTGACACACAAGCGACAATCTCCTGACCTCTTTCTCCAGCCCTTTCTCTTCCATGAACCCAAAAATCTTTCCTGGGAACCAAGAACCCAAATGTTTTAAGAATAAATCATCTTCAGGCCTAAGAGTACTGGCTATATTCCCAGATCAATTTCAAAACCAAACACATCACAACTCTTCTTCTCTTAAACGGGCCATAATTCTGGCACATATGGTACAGCCATACATGGTAGTAAACGGTTAAAGCAACACTGCCTCAGAAGCCAAAGATTCTGTGAAATGTAAAAACATCAACAAATATTTACTCTAGAGTGTTAAGATGAAAGACTGTCCACAGGGAACTGGTGTATATCACACATGTAGGGCTGTAAAAGTAGAACAGGCCATTATCAATTCCCATTACTTCTCCTCGGTCCGACCCTTAATATTCTTCAAATCCACTTCTTTAAGTATAATTAAATTTCAAATGCTTCTGACTATATTTTAGAATCTGAACATGATACAATAAAGATCCCCAATACTGAAACCAATAGGTATCTCGTGAATATCTTACACTTCTGAAGGTTGCATGGCTGACTCTGTATTCTTCAAAAGATTATGAAATGTTCTGCATTGTTGGTAAAGAACTATCAATCAGAAATTAGATTAAAGACATTCTTTTGCTAAGTCTTGAGTCCAAACTGAAAGTCATTAGTAATATTCGAGAAATCTACTGCCAGGGCCTATAATTATAACTCTAGGCCCAAAAGAAAGACAATTATGAAGGAGGCTCTCCCTTTTCTTAAATATCTTTTGATGTTCAGTCTATTTAATAAAAATGCAGATGTTATTAAGATTAAAAAAAAAACATTCTGCGCTCATAACAATTATTCCAAAAGACAATTCAAATGCTTTTAAAATATATTATGTATGTAAAACAAAACTACCAAAACAACAGCTTGGAAGAGAATCTTTATAGGAAGTGTTTACAGAGTATGTAAATTTTCACATCTCTTTGATATTATTGAGTCTTTTCAATAGTTCATCATTTTTATCAGTGGATGTATTAAGAGCAGAAAAATATAAAACCAAAAGATACAAAGATATCTGATTATTAATTTCAAAGTTATAAACATTTCTAAACTCATTGCATGAATAGCTTAAAAATAATTTTATTTGTATTTTTAAGCACTACACAATACATTTACAAAAACTTTTAAAATGCATATCTTTAACTCAAAAATAATTAAGAATGCTTGCAGATATGACACCAATTCTCGCCTCTGAAAACTGGAACATAAAGGAAAAAATAAAGCGCTTTTTATCTCTGCATATAAGAAACTACAGTTGCATCCCAGGTGATAAAAGAAAATTCTTCTTACAGAATAATATCAGCTAATAAATGTAGAAGAAATGATAGAATTTGAAATTCACCATATTGCAGTCCCCAATGAAATAACTGTTAAAGCAAGAATCATCAACAGATATGAAAATAGTTAAATGAAAGGCTGTTGAAGACAAGAATATTCCAATGATACCAAAATACCCCACAGATTACAATGCTAACTGCAAAAAGAAAAAAAGCACCTTTAAAAAAGAAACAGAGCTGGCTGTCACCACATTAAGCGAGTGACCAAATACAGTAAAACTAAAAGAACCTGAAATTACATCTGATGCAACAGACTATAATACGAAGTACATAATATCATTTTACGATATATCCTTGTGAAGATGTTTAATCTAAGTCTAAGCTAAGCTTTTACAACTAATTCCAGTTTATGGAAAATACAGAAATAGAGAAAAAAGTTTAATGACACCACAGGGAAAAAATTGGAAAAATCTCAAAATATGAGACTTTTAAATAACCTAATCTCTTCAAAAAGTCAGTGCAATGGAAGAGAAGGCGGGGATTCTAACTATATGCAATGTATGAACCTTGACTGGATCCTCATGTGGGGAGGTAGGGGGAGAGCAGGCGTGGGAATAGCTAAAAAGATGTTCCATGGACAATAGGAAAAAAATTCTGAATACGAATTAGGTATTTATATGATACTGGCAAATTACTGTCGATTTACTTAGATGTGGTAATTGGGAAAATGTCTAATTCTTGGGAGATGCTTGAAGTTTTTAAAAGGACTCAAAATAAATGAAACATTTTTAAACAGCCCAGCCAAAAGAAAAAAAATCAATAACAACAAAAATCACATGTGCAGAGATAAAACATCAATCTAGGGAGTGAGTTCATTATCTTTAAAACTTTGGAATTCAAAGTTGAAATGACAAAGTTATTTAGTCCAACATTGCTTATAATAAACAGAAACTCTATGTCCAATAACAAAGGACTGGACAAATAAATTATGGTATGCACACAGATGTGTAAAATTATTTCACCATTAGAGATACCATTGGTTTCTTTACTAACCTGAAAACAAATTTTAAAAGGGCTGCTGTTTGCAGTAAAGTTCTATCTTGAAAAACATTCCTAGGTATTTATAATAGATATTTATATAGAAGCTTTAGAGGAAAAAATACCAACATGTTAAAGTGGTTTTATTTCACTGGCAGAATTAAGATTTTTATTTTCTTCTTTTTGTTTATCTGTATTTGCTAACTTTCTATAGTGAATATGTATTGCTTGTAAAATTAACATTTTCCCCAAAAAACTGTCTACTAAATTTAGAAACAGATTAAGGATTTCAAACTAATTCTTCATTCTACTTCTAGATATCCAGAATAAGAGAAAAATCAGATCCAATTAACATATTACAATGTTCATCACAGAATTTTTCTAATGATAAAAAATTAAAAGCAGTATAAATATTAAAAAATAAGAAAATAACTAAAACCTGATCCAGACAAAGATTATCAATGAATGAGATACTTACCTATTCACAAAGTAATCTCTCACAAATTAGTAATTACAGGAGAAAAAAAATTATAATGACACACTAGAGAAACTAGATAATACCTTATCTAAGTGAAAAAATTAACATCATGTGCCTCCATATGTGACAACCCTAATAATGACACAATATCTACTTATCTAGCATACCATCCAAAATTGTACAAGATACTCTCAAACAGTTCAGTAAAAAAAAGCACGTATACAGATTCACCAATGTAACATTTTCCACATTTGCCTTCTACCTTCCTATCTTACAAGGAGAAAATGTAATACTATTTGTATGTTATACATAATATGTATAATTGTCACATTCCATTGAGAGAGAGAATGATAGGTGTCAAAATGTTAAAGAGAACCTGAGTTAAAGGTATGCAGGAGTTCTTTGTACTATTCCCACAGTATGGAATTATTTCAAAATAAAAAGTTAAAATAAAATAATGTACTCAATCTGGGTGGTAGCTACATAGGTGAGCTCTTTGTGATAATTCATGTAATTTTCAATAAGTTTATTAAAAAGAACAATGAGGGCAAGATTACAGAACTATATTTAATACCTTATCAAATGTATAAGAATATTTATTCTGATCTATTTGCAAATAGTCAAAATTGGTTGTATGAATGTCAAAAAATATTGAGATTTATTAAAAAGCAAACATAACAATATATTAACTCCTTTTGTATTTCTCTGGGACAGTATACAGCATTGCTTTCAATAGTTAAGTATTATCTCAAGAGATATAATATAATTAACATTTTCTTCTGTTTCAGAAACTAAGATTATTCTACCTATACAATGTTTAATTTGCAATAAAAATTGATAGTAAGGAGAGAAAGGTACTTTCTAAGATTTATAAAATCTCAATTTTTTTCTTATATTAAACATTACATTGAGTATTCCAGTATTCCACCATTCCACCATCTTCATGGTGTTAAAAATATTAACAATCTGTTAACAAGTATAGGAAATCAATGGCTTTCCTTCACTTTAGCAATAATCATATAGAAATGGAAACAGAAATAAAAATATCTTGCTCACATCAGTAACAATACCATAAAACACTTAAGAATAAATTTAACAAGATAGGAACAGGACCTACCTGGAAAAAAAAAAAAATCAGAGTAAGTGGGAAAATATACCATGATACTGGATAAGACAATGTGACACAACTGTCAATTTTCTGAAACCAATACATAAATATGAAGCAATTCTGATCAAAATTCTAAGAAGGGCATTTCTCTGTGGGTGTGTGTATGAAGACTACATGACTTAAAATAGCTAAGAAAAGAATTTAAAAAACTGGGTATGTGTGGCAGGAGAAAAACTGCCTTACCAAATTATCAAAATATAAAGTTTCTGACATCAAATTAAAATAGTATTAGCATAGGAACAGACAAATAGATCAGAAAAACAGAATAAATAATACAGAAACTGGTTCCATTATATATAAGAATAGATGGCTGACCCTTGAACATGGGGGTGCCAACCACCCATGCAGCAGAAAATGTCAATCCGTGTATAACTTAAGCCATCCCTCTGCACACACAGATTCCCAACCATGGATCGAAAATACATAGTACTATTATATAACAATATGGCAAGGTGGTCAATCGATTGAGGATGAATTATTTAATAAACAATTCTAGCAAAACTGGCTATCCATCTGAAATAAAATTAGTGCTCCAACTTTACGTAAAAAATTCCAGACCAATTAAAAAATGTAATAAACATGATACAGTCTGAAAACATCTAAGAAACTGCTAGGAACCCAGAAGTATAAAATATAAACATATACTGTATATTTAAATATTTAAAATTTTTGGAAGAGCAAAAGAACAACGTGAGCAAAAGATGCTGAAAATCATTAGCAGTCTGGGTATCATAAAGTATTAAAATGTTCTTTGAGTCTACGGCCATGCTACCCTGAACAGGCTGGATCCCGTCTGATTTTGGAAGCTAAGCAGGGTCGGGCCTGGTTAGTTCTTGGATGGGAGACCACCTAGGAAGACTAGGTGCTGTAGGCGTAAAAATTAAAAAATAGAGGATTGTATGCTGACAAGCTCCTTGCAATCTGTGAGGTCAACCAAGGGTTGCCTTGCCTAAAAAAAAAAAATGTTCTTTGATTCAGGAACCCTACTTCTAGAAAACTGTCACACAATATAACTGCCAGTATATAAAAAGGTACATATATATATGTATGTATACACACATACACACAATACGTATGTATACACACACGCACAGTTATATATTATACATGTACGTATATGTACATGTTTACATACATATACATACATATATACTCATAGAAATATGTTTATTGCAAAATGGTTTATACTGGCAAAAAATATTGGAGACAAAGTGAATGCTTATCAATTAGAAAATGATGGAATCAAGAATGGCACATTCCTGCCATGGAATATTGTGAAGCCACTCAAAAGAATTACAGAGCTATTCTAACTAACTTGGAGGGACTTCCAAGAGGTAGTACTAAATGAGAAAAGGTGGAGAAAGGTGAGCCTATGATTTCATTTTTGTAAAACAAACAAGGACCAAACACTTTCCTTACATCAACAAAGTTTAAACACACATGAACATAGAAAAATATGGAAGGCTACATGCTATGTGCTTACATGGGTCTGGAAGGAAGGGAAGGAAGAGGAAACAAACAAAAAACTTAAAAAGACTATTTAAAAATAAATGTGATCACATATGTACTATGAAAATGTATGTAATTAATGTAAAATTACATGTCTGTACCATCTTAAAAATAGATGCTTCAAGACAGGGATATTGACTATGAACTCAATTTAAAGAAAAGATGCCCATGCCATAAAATTCCACACAACTTTACAGACTTATTCCCTGAGAGTACTGGGAATGAGGGAAGGGGTAAAAATATAACTACATTGAGTTCTTTTCTAGGTTTAAAGAAAAACAATGAAGCCTTCACAGGTAAATGAAACAATGCTACAGCAGAAGCTTTCTTAACCTGCTATTGCAACCATTCAATTAAGCAATGCTCCAGACTCCCTCTGTAAAAAATACCAAACTGACCAATGCCCATTGTATTCTAAATTAGTGGATAACAGGTTCCTATTCTGAATAATAATAGCAGCTAACACATACTTAATGCTTATTATGTGTCTGGTACTCTTCTAAGTGCTTTACATATATTATTATTTCTCACAACAACCTTCTCAAGTGCCCCTTTTATGGATGAGGAAATAAAACCATGATAAATTACTTGCCCCAGTCCGGAAGCTACTAAGTGTTAGAGCTGGGATTCAAATGCACTAGTCTAGTCCCAGCTTCTATGCTCTTAATCAGCCACTTTGCTGACTGGCTGAAATGTATCCTTTCAGAACACTTCCAAGAAATCAGGTGGTCTGTTCCCAAACTTGTGTAAGTCATCTGTACTTATTACTATAATTATACAATTTAAATATATATTACATAAAAAAATTATTTCTATGAAAACTAAATTGAATACTCAGAAAAATCTCAATAAAGGCAAGTCATCAAAAAATACTTGTCAAATAAAGAAAAGAATTCTAAATGGTTTTTAAAAACATTGATAGATACAGGTGTCGGGCCTCAGATTACTTGGTTCTTGCTTTTCACAGAAACTCAAAATGGAATAGACTCATAGACAATACATTATGGGCACAGTTTATGGGGAAAAAGTAGAGTGAATGCGAATCCATGCTCAAATAACAATGATGAAAAACAAAGGTTTTACTTTTATCAATAAAGATTTTTATTTTTTTGCGATTCCCCACTTTAACAAACTATTTTGATTAGCCAAACTACTACTAGTCTCAATTGTTTTGGATAAGACAGCTTCTACTGTATTTTCTCTGCAACGAATTCATAGCTTTTATATTAAGGTAGTGGAGCAAGTTCTGAGAAAAAAAATCAAATCTGCTTTCCTGCTAAGCTACAACTTTAGAAAGTAAAACTGTAAGTTATTTTATAATCCTTACCCATCTTGTGTGGGTGGATACTCGCATTCTTGTCCTTTGGGAAATACACCATTAGGATACAGGTCACATACTGGAACTGAGGGAGGGTCTGTCTGAACTTTTGCTGTGAGATAACAAATAGAGCATTAAATTCTGTAGTTAAAAATAAAATTAAGCAGTTATCATCATAGTTTTTCTCAGTTCCTAATGGTTGTTATACATCCTGATTTTAAGGAACTTCCTTGCTATTGCCTTACAGTTAGAAACATCATGCTGGTCACCTCCTCTTTGATTTACTATTGCTTGGAAATAAAAAATATTCAATTCCTTAGAACTCCATTATGTATTTAAATGGTATATCCCTTTGGCAGAAAGCACACTTCTAACGTTTTTGTCTTCATTTCCTATACTGAAAATGGAACAACATATAGAGGCTGGCTTTTGCAAATAAAAATCAAAGAAGCAACAATAAGAAAAGTCCTATTAAGTAAAACTACAAAGCTATTATGTATTCATAAAACAAGTAAAAAACTTATTTCAAGGATGTATTAGGTGTCAAAGTTAAAGAGTATACACAGACCCAGTGCTAAAAACTTTAGATAGCCACACAAATTTCTAGATACTCAAAAAAAGTTACAATACCTACCACATGTTTTAGGACACTATTTCCCAAGCTAGATTCCAAGACACCAGTGTTTTGAGATGCTTGTAAAAGGTACGTAGAGATTTTGTCTTCTAAATTTTTTTTTTCAAATATTTAAGAATTCGTTGTATAGTTCTTATCATATGAAGAACTCCCTTTTAGTAATGAATGCTGTTTCTGAGGAATACCAGGAAGGTGTGTGTTAATTTACGCAGCATTATGTCTTTCAATGAATGCCTGCAGCATTTACCAACTACTGAGGTGAAGTATGTGGTTTCTCTTTATGTAATCAATATTATTATTATTATTATTATTATTTATGCCTACAGCACCTGGTCTTCCTAGGTGGCCTCCCATCCAAGT